TAACCAGATGTGGTGGTGTGCATCTGTAGTCCTAGCTATTTGAGAGGCTGAAGTGGCAGAATCACTTGAGCACGTGAGGTCGAGGTTGCGGCGAGCCATGATTGCACCACTGCGATCCAGCCTGGGCAACAGAGTGAGACCCTATCTCAAAAAAGAAAAGAAAAGAAAAACAGAAAGAAAGAAAGGAAAAAATACCTAAGACTGGGTAATTTTTTTTTTTTTTTTTTGAGACAGGGTCTCACTCTGTCACCCAGGCTAGAGTACAGTGGCATGATCTTGGCTCACTGCAACCTCTGCCTTAGCCTCCCAAGTAGCTGGGACTACAGGCCCACAACACTCTGCTCAGCTGACCACCAATGCTTACCTGGGAGACTGAGCAATTTTTAAAGAAAAGAGGCTTATTTAGCTCATGATTCTGCAGGCTTTACAGGAAGCATGGTGTTGACATCTGCTCAGCTTCTGTGTAGGCCTCCAGAAGCTTACAATCATGGCAGAAGGAGAAGGAGAAGCAGACATGTCACACGTTCAGAGCAGGAGCAAGAGAGGGAGGGAGTGATGGGACGAGGTGCCACACACTTTAAAATGACTAGATCTATTGTGAACTCAGTGACAGCTCACTTATCCCCAAGAGGATAGCCCAAGCCATTCATGAAGGATCCACCCCCAAGATCCAGACAACTCCCACCAGGCCTCACCTCAAACATTAGGGATTACATTTCATCATGAGATTTGGGTGGGAACAAATAACCACAGATATATCAATATGGAATATTTCCCTTTATCAGCAGTATAAAGTAGAAGGCATGGGGGATTCTCTCACCATTCTGTTCAGGCATAGGTTAAGGAAACACCAATTCCTTTCAACATATGCATCTGGAGATGTCAATTCTGAGTATCACAGGTATTGAAATATGACACAGTCCCTGCCCTCAAGAAATTGACAAGGTAGAAAAGTAGAAATGGTTCTTTTTGTTTCCATCCCTATAAGCACTCTGGTCCAGTAGTATATTCAGCAAAAGGAACAAAAAGTGCCTCTTCCAGCTCCAAATCAGAAGGTCAGGTGGTAGGGGCTGGCCAAGTTCACAGAATAATTAACTCCTGCATGCTACCTGGGATGATATTTATTCAGTTCTTGCTATATGCCAGGTATAATGCTACACCATTTTTATGCTACACCTTTTTTTTTTTTTTTTTTGAGTCAGATTCTTACTCTGTCGCCCAGGCTGGAGTGCAGTGGCACAATCTCTGCTCACTGCAACTTCCACCTCCCGGGTTCAAGCAATTCTCCTGTCTCAGCCTCCCGAGTAGCAGAGATTACAGGCACCCGCCACCATGCCTGGCTAATTTTTGTATTTTTGGTAGAGACTGGGTTTCACCATATTGGCCAGGCTGGTCTTTTGGGCAGGCTGGTCTCGAACTCCTGATCTTGTGACCTGCCCTCCTTGGTCCCTCCTGGACAGCATGAGCCACTGTGCCCGGTCTATACCTTCATTTAATACTATACTCATTTAATCCTTACAACTGTTATATGAAATAGATACTATTATCCTTAATTTTGTAGCTGAAGAAATGGAAACACAGGAAAATTAAGTGACTTGCCCAAGGTCACCCAGCTAGTGTCAGCATTTGAATCCAGGCAGTCCGTAAACCTTGTGGTCTGAACTATTTATTATACTGCTAGCATCCTGGATTAGGATAGCAGCAGGAATTAAAGCTCAACAGAGAGAGGACTTGAGAGAAGGTAGAAACCATGTAATCTGACCATGAGAAAACGAGAGGAGAAAATTGAGATTATAAGTGAAAGTGGAATAAGATACGGGGTCTCCGGACATTTGAGCTGCAATCAGTGGATTATAAGGCCCTCCTAGGGTGGGATTTGTGTCGTAATCATTTTGCACCTAGCATAAAGCTGGGCTCATAATCAGTCTCAAAAGACATAATTGAATTGAATGATGGCTGAGTAACATCATCTTTGTAGAAAGGGCTAGCTCATTTGTCATTGTCCACAAGGGGCAATGCTGCTTATCTAGCAGGTGTTGGCAGTCACAGAAGACATGGTTGGTGAAGAGGATGTGCTGGAGGGCTGTCAGTATTAGTCTTGGAGTCACATTTATTTGCAGAGGCTTCTCCAATCCTCATTAAAGACCCAGTGAAGTCAGGCTCTCTACCCCTGTACTCAGAAATATGCACCAGGCGTCTCATTTTCTCTCATGGAAAGGCTGGCCTAATGGCGCGATCTCGGCTCACTGCAACCTCCGCCTCCTGGGTTCAGGCAATTCTCCTGCCTCAGCCTCCTGAGTAGCTGGGATTACAGGCACGCGCCACCATGCCCAGCTAATTTTTTTGTAGTTTTAGTAGAGACGGGGTTTCACCATGTTGACCAGGATGGTCTCGATCTCTTGACCTCGTGATCCACCCGCCTCAGCCTCCCAAAGTGCTGGGATTACAGGCTTGAGCCACCGCGCCCGGCCCTAAGGCTGGCCTTTTACAGGTGGGATTGGTCATTGTTCCCAGCCCATCAGCTTGACCCTGTCCCTGCATTCTTGTTCTATTCTGCAGGGACAGCACTGGAATAGACACCGAGTATCTATCAGAGTGGGAACCCTGAGCAAACGTCCTTTTCCAACCACTTTTCCTGTCCGAAACATGATTTGGCTTGGTGGCTGGAGGAGGGGGAGGGCAGAGGAGATACCCCTTGACCACCTGACATCTTTGGTGGTTCATGGGTCTCAGCCTTTTCCTAGCATCCTGACCAGCCTGAAATTGTTACATTTTGCTTTATAAATTTCTTTTTTAAAGTATTGTCAATTTGGAAAAAAAAAAAAAAAAACTATTGTCTGTATGTAAGAGCAGGTGTCAGAAAATGAGGTGCCTGGAGCATATTTCTCTCTGGCAATGGGGTGGAGGGCCTGACATCATGAGGCCTTTAATCGTAGCTCCCCAGCCTCATGTTCCCTAACCCTTCTGGGGAGGAGGGCTTGGGAAAGGCACATGGAGGTAGGGTGGAGCTGGGGGAAAACAGGCCTTGTACAAAAGCTGAGTAGCCAGATGTTCACTTTTACAGCTCTTCTGTAAAACTGGCAGGGCAGATATAGATTAAAACGAAGGACAAACTCCATTTAAAGTGCATTACAGCTCAAGAACCAGCACCCCCTGGGCAGGAGAAGGGAGGGAAGGGCACAGAGGCCATATCAGTCTACTTCCTTATCTAGGGCCACATGTCTCTCTCCTAGCTTTGCCAATGGTGATTTACACCCCCAGCTGGAATGACTCTCTTTCTGGGCTGATTACATCGGCAAATGCCCCCCAGAGGCCACAGCAGGATGGCCATATTCAGAAGCAGCAGCCAATAAATCTCAGAGGTTTATATTGCAATTCTCAGTACCCTCCCTGCTGGCTCTCTGCCAGGCTGGCTCTGGAAGTAAGGAGGGGGTCGAGTTAGAGGGTTAGGGGATGAAACCCTCCACTTCCGTTCATCACCCTCTTCTCTTTCTTTCTATGCACTGCTTAGTTATTCTTCCAAGCCATTCAGCTTCTGGCTTTATCCTGGGATCTTGTGGGAATCAGGCCCAGGCCCAGTAAATACCTTTATCCTTATGGGTAGACATCTGTGTTCTGGACACAGATGTGTTTCTTTTTTTTTTTTTTTTTTTTTTGAGACAGAGTTTCGCTCTTGTTACCCAGGTTGGAGTGCAATGGCGCGATCTCCGCTCACCGCAACCTCCGCCTCCTGGGTTCAGACAATTCTCCTGCCTCAGCCTCCTGAGTAGCTGGGACTACAGGCACACGCCACCATGCCCAGCTAATTTTTTTGTAGTTTTAGTAGAGACAGGGTTTCACCATGTTGACCAGGATGGTCTCGATCTCTTGACCTTGTGATCTACCGGCCTCAGCCTCCCAAAGTGCTGAGATTACAGGCTTGAGCCACCGCGCCCGGCCTCACAGATGTTTTTCTACCTAGTTGTTTCATCCTGATAGAGTAGCTTGCTTTCTGAAACGTTCATCGTGTGAAAAGGATGGGCTCCCAAATGGTCTCTCCAGACACCTTCCTCAGTGATCTTTGGTCCAAGGAATTCTCTTCTACGTAGTGGAGGGCTTCCACAATGTCTTGCTATACGAAGTTGGCAGACAGCAGGTGGGCCGCCTCGGGAAGAGCAACCCCTTCCACGCCAAGCCCCTTGGCTCCCTGGGCACCAGCACTCCCTCGCCCCCACCCCTGCTGTCCCTCGGTCCAGCACAGGAGGCCTGTGGTGCAGACATGCCCTTCGGAGTTGCAGGGCGCCACCCAGGACCCTGTTGGGAGGGTATGGTGGGAGAGATCTTTCCATCTTCCCTTATGACACCATTGGGGCTGAATGTTGGAATCTAATGCCCCAGGTATGCTCCCCCAGCAAAGCCATTCCACCTGTCTGCGACCCATCTTTGCAGAATCTTGAGCTTAATAGCCATCTTACCCTAGAAGACACTTTGGAGGGGAAAAACGAGATCACAGATGTGCAAATTCTAAGAAAAACAAATACTAGGCCGGGCGCAGTGGCTCACGCCTATAATCCCAGCACTTTGAGAGGCCGAGGCGGGAGGATCACCTGAGGTTGGGAGTTCCAGACCAGCCTGACCAACATGGAGAAACCCCCTCTCTACTAAAAATACAAAAAACTAGCCAGGCGTGGTGGTGCATGCCTGTAATCCCAGCTACTCAGGAGGCTGAGGCAGGAGAATCGCTTGAACCCGGGAAGGGGAGGTTGCAGTGAGCCGAGATCAAGCCATTGCTCTCCATCCAGCCTGGGCAACAAGAGAGAAACTCCGTCTCAAAAAAA